GGATGAAAATAACAACAGAGCTAAATCGGCTACATCCTTACTCTACAAAGACAAAACTAGAAGAGAGGAGATTATGGCTGCTCTTCTTCTTCTTCTTCAGAACACCAAACAAAGACGGGAAGAGAAGCCATAAAATGGTAATACACCTTGGCACTTTAGTCCCAATCAAATTCCTAGATCAGGGAGAAAATTCCCGGGCATCCTACAGCTAAAGAACATTGGTTACATGAGAAACATGTGACTTCCTGTGAGTAACATAAACAAACATTTAACCCCAGATATACTGAGTGTTTTCAACTTGTAATACCCAACATGGGGCCCCCGTGACAATGGCGCATTACCAGTGAGGGACACGGTGGAAGTCCACGAAAGCCAGAGCAATAAGACTCGTGTTCGATCCTTTGCGCATAAGCCCTTGAATCTTTGTCGTGCGCAATAATCAATGTTCCAGGCCCAGTCTGAATTTTCCAGGCCAGCTCTTGCGTGGCTGGGCTTCGGCCTGTATTTCTGACCCCTCAGTCTTGGTTTGTTTTTCCTCCCCCTTGTTCAAAAAATCAGCTATCAAGCGGCTATTGTACGCTGGCGCTCGCAATATGAAAGCGTGGCTGTGTTTCTTCTCCTGTGAACTCGTTGCCCCGGCTCCTGGCGGTGTGCCAGTCGAGCGAGCCAACGGCTTTTTCCGCTGGTGACCTAAATTTCCTACTGGATTGTTCAGTGATAGCCAAGGCTTGTGTGAGGCGGCTGATGCGGCGGCCTACCTTCTCCTCAGGGACTGTGGGAAATGACCTTGAATTCACCAGCTCTGATGTGCAACTGATCTGCTCACATTAAATATTTGTGTGTGTGTGTGTTGGCTTGGTAAATTCTTCCACTCAAGTAACAGGCGGGAATATAATTATGAAAGGATGCCGTTGTCTCAGCTTTCCTCACAATCGTGGTTACGGTCGATAAACATTTGCAGGACTTTGACATCCATCCAGTATTGAAATTACATGATTTTTTTTTGGGGGGGGGACACATTACGTCTTTCTGAACTTCCATTTATGCTGTACTGGAGAAATATGATTGTGTATGTAGGGTTTGCCAACCCCCCAGGTGGGGCCTGGAGATCTCCCAGATTCATTACACGCATGAACACAGGAAACTGCCTCATACTGAGTCAGACCCTCGGTCCATCAGTATTGTCTACTCAGACTGGCAGCGGCTCTCCAGGGTCTCAGGCAGAGAGGTCTTTCACACCACCTACTGCCTGATGCTTTTAATCGGAGTTGCTGGGTATTGAACCGGGAACCTTTTGCGTGCCAAGCAGAGGCTCTGTCACTCAGCCACGGCCCCTGATCTCCAGACTACAGAGGTCCATTCCCCTGGAGGAGGAGGAGGAGGAGATTGGATTTATACCCCGCCCTTCACTACCCAAGGGAGTCTCAGAGTGGCTTACAAACTCCTCTCCCTTCCCCTCCCCACAACAGACACCCTGTGAGGTAAAAGAAGAAGAAGAAGAGATTGGATTTATACCCCGCCCTTCACTACCCAAAGGCGTCTCAGAGCGGCTTACAAGCTCCTTTCCCTTCCCTTTCCCTCCCCACAACAGACACCCTGTGAGGCAGGTGGGGCTGAGAGAGCTCTTGAGAGAAACTGCTCTTTTTAAAAAAACAGCTGTGCCAGAACTATGGCTTGCCCAAGGTCATCCAGCAGGTGCAAGTGGAGGAGTGGGGAATCAAGCCCGGTTCTCCCAGATTAGAGTCCGCACACTTATGGTTGCTTTAGAAGCAGACTCTGTGGCGTCATACCGCACTGAGTACCTGCTTCTCCCCAAACCCTGCCTTCTCCAGGGTCCCCCCCAAAAAATATCCAGGAATTTACAAATGCAGAGTTGGCAACACTACAGCTTCACACATAGAAATATGCTTAGAGAGCCAGTTTGGTGTACTGGTTAAGTGCGCGGACTCTAATCTGGGAGAACCGGGTTTGATTCCCCGCTCCTCCACTTGCACCTACTGGATGACCTTGGGCAAGCCGTAGTTCTGTCAAAGCTGTTCTTGAAAGAGCAGTCCTCAAGAGAGCTCTCTCAGCCCCACCCACCTCGCAGGGTGCCTGTTGTGGGGAGGGGAAGGGAAAGGAGCTTGTAAGCCGCTCTGAGACACCTTTAAATCCAATCTCTCTTCTTACTTGCAGAACTTGGCCTTGTCACAAGGTTCGCATACATGTGTGTGTTCTAGGGTTGCCAAGTCTGGGTTGGAAAATTTCTGGACACTTGGGGGTGGAGCCTGGGAAAAATGGGATTCGGGGAGGGGAGGGACCTCAGCAGGCTATAGTACCATAGAGTCCGCCCTGCAAGGCAGCCGTCTTCTCCAGGGAAATTGATATCTGTAGTCTGGGGATCGGTTGTGATTCCGGGAGATCTCCAGGCCCCACCTGGAGGCTGGCAAGACTATTCTGTCCTGCTTGTTGAAGGACAAACTCATATTGAAAAATATGGGCTGCTGAAGGCTAGATTTTCTTAAGTGGAGTTCATCTGATGTACACGTGCAGGTTTCCCTTTGGTAGTTGGCTAGATGTCAGGCAAACACTTCTCCACACACTCCCAGCATTCCCCCATAGCTAAAACCACGCGGGCTGCAACGAGGTCTGGATTTCATTGATATTTGGCGAGCGGTGAGGATCCTGTATCCAAAGCCAGCTATGCAGTGATCAAACCTGAGATTCCTTCATGCAACCTATTCTCATTCCCCTGTCTGATAATTGCAGAAAATCGCCCCAGGGAAAAATCTGTCTCCTGAATTCACCGTGTGCTACGGAGCATCGATCGAAAATCTAGATATTTTAATGACCGGTCGAATGTTGATGTCCTTTAGTTCTTTCTTTTTTAAAAAAAGTGCTTGGGGAAAAAAAGGACATTGAATATCTGCTGTCGCTGCAGGGTTGCCAACCTCCTACCCAAACCCCGCCCCCTCAGGCTCCGCCCCCCAAATCTCCAGGTATTTCCCAACCTGGAGCCAGCAACCCTGTTTGGCCTCTGGCAGTGCATCTCTCTCTGGGATCTCAGGCAGTAGACTGCCCATAGGCCTGGTGGCTGAGATCAATGCTCCTTCTAAGCTGTGGAGTCTTGTGAGCAAAAATTCTACTTTGTGAGCGACTGGCAATAAAGTAGTGAGCGAGCGATTAGGCTGCTGCATCCGTTAGTCTGCTCCGGAGCCACCCTTCCTGAGCGCTAAGACAAAAATGTGTGAGCCGGAGGCTAAAAAAACTGTGAGCTGGCTCACACCAGCTCAGCTTAGAGGGAACTGTTGGGTGTTACATGTTAAAAACACTCAGCATATATGGGGTTAAATGTCTGTTTGTGTTGTCACAGGAAATCACATGTTTTTATATAAGCCGATGGTCGTTTAGAACTGCAAGCCCGGGAAAATTCTTCCTGATCCAGGAGTTTCATTGGAAGCAAAGTGTCAAAGTGTTTTAGCATTTTATGGCTTCTCTTCCTCTCTTTGTTTGCTGTTTCCAAGAAGAAGTACAGAAGCCATTATCCTTCTTCTAGTGTTGTCCTTTGTAGAGTAAGGATGTAGCTGTTTAGCTCTGTTGTTATTTTCATCCCAGTTACCCTTTCCCTATGCTAGGATGTAGTAAAACTTTTCTATTTTATACACACATGGACTCTGACTCTGATTATTTTACTCTGGCATTGCTAAGTTATTTTAACTCTGCTGAATTACAATTTTAAAAATCCAACAGGAACCCTGTTTGAGATTATTGGGAGACGCCAGGCATTGGATCTGGGATTGCCCTGTGTGTAGAGTATGTACTTTACTGTGGAGTTGAAGTGCCCTCCCCAGATTTTAAAGGTAGGAGCCCCTGACTGCTGCAGAGGGCAGGATTTGAACACGGGCCTGAGGATCCATGCAAAGCAAGAGTGCCGCGCTTCAGCCCTATTCTCTGGGCTAAATGGTACAGAGCCCTTCACTGTTGCACACCATGGGCTCTGAACAGGGAACCAAACAGCAAGCAAGACAGATGTGCCATTCATTATGAATGGCTGGTATTCCTGATAAGAATCTGGGTCCATTTCAGTGTTTGTTTGACTAGGCAAATACCCTGCAGCCATTTTCAGCAGTATCCCCGTGTCAATTATCTCACTTGTGCTGGATCTAAAAACCTCAAATATGCCCATTGTAAAGGGTAGCAGTACCTTGCTTACAAAATCTCCAGGCCAGTTTGGCTGGAGATCCTGGAGGTTTTTTTGTCATCTTCTGGGCCTGGAACATTGGTCCCTGGGGGTGTGGAGGGGGCGGCATTTGTGAATTTCCTGCATTGTGCAGGGAGTTGGACTAGATGACCCTGGAGGTCCCATCCAACTCTATGATTCTAGGACAACAATAGGGTACCAGCTCCCGGTTGAGAAATACCTGGAGATTTGGGGGACGGGGTTTAAGGAAGGAAGGAACTTCAATGGGGTATAACAGAGTCTACCTTCCAAAGCAGCCATTTTCTCCAGGGGAATGAATCTCTGTCGCCTGGAGATTTGTTGTAATCCTAGGAAATCTCCAGCTAACAACTTGAGGTTGGCAACCCTATGAAACAAGCAGTGTCTTTTCTTGGCCTAAGCTTTTGGTCCTTAGGTCTTTTGATCTGGAAAGTAGCTAAACCCTGTTCTTTCCTGCCCGGAAGCTTGCCTCCTGTGCACTGGAAGGATGAATGCCACTCCAAATGCATCCTGTTTTAAACTGCCGACAACACTTCCCGTACGAATGGCTCCTTTTCTACTCGTTCGGTACCTCTAAACATATGTATGTCGATAGTTGTCATGGTGTTTTTCCAGTTATTTGTTGGAGTTCATCAGCAAAGTGTCAGGAAACGGGCTCAGTGTATGGGAAATCTCTTTTAGCCCCAAGGAGTAATTGTGAATCGTTTGGAACAATTCAATTTATATCGGAGCCTTGGCAAACGGGGAGACAGACAAACCCATTTCTGATACCGTCCCCTTATTTGTTTTTTGTCTTTTTCAGGACCAAGAAGAAAATAAAGGAGCTACAAGTTGGCCGGAGTTCTACATCGATCAGCTGAACTCCATGGCTGCTGTAAGTGGAGTTTTCAAAAGATTGCTTTTTAAAGTTACGTTAAAAAGAAAAAGAACATTTCGAACACGAAGGACAGGATTGTGTATGAAACTTAGAGGTGCCGTGCCTAGGTAGTCCAAATTCAGCAGGTGGGGAAGCTGAATACTGTGAAATGTATAAATCCATTTGATTTTTGAAGATTTTGTCTAGAGTCATAAAATCGTGGAAGGGGTCCTACAGGCCATCTAGTCCAACCCCCTGCTCAGTGCAGGATCAGCCTAGAGCAGTGATGGTGAACCTTTTAGAGACCGAGTGCCCAAACTGCAACCCAAAACCCACTTATTTATCACAAAGTGCCAACACGGCAATTTAACCTGAATACTGAGGCTTTAGTTTAGGAAAAACAACTCATACATTAACATAAGATGATCCAAACATAGTAAGGAAAGCAGTCCCAAATGCTTTCATTTACTTAAAATTATTTGGCAGAGAATTCGACACTTTAATGACAGTCTGGGCCTGGCTGGGGCGATGGCATGCGTGCCCACTGAGAGGGCTCTGAGTGCCGCCTCTGGCACGCGTGCCATAGGTTCGCCACCACTGGCCTAGAGCATCCCTGACAAGGGTTTTTGTCCAGCTGCTGCTTAAAGACTGCCAGTGAGGGGGAGCCCACCAGGTCCCTAATATATTTGTGGCTTGCTAGTCATAGAGGAAAATTAATGAGCTATACAGTAGTGCAGAATCCCTCCCTGTCTCTATCCAGGGGAAACTGGATTCAGCTTCACAGTTCTCTGGCAGGCATAATCTACCCCAGGGGTCGCCAACCTTTTTTGAGCCTGCAGCCACTTTTGGAAGGGTGGTGGGAACAGCCACAAAATGGCTGCCGCAGGAGGCGGAGCCAATTGCAAAATGTCGAAGGGTGAGGCTAGTAGTAAAATATATATTAAATATACTGAACATATAAACGCATGCAGTATTTCAAGAGAATGTAATGTACATCGTAAAGTCTTACAAGCCACAGAATGAGAATTCTTAAAAGAAGCACTATCTTAAATAGTCCACAAGCACAAGCCTTCCAAAGGGCAGTGACACTATAGAAAAAAATACTGTATAGTATACCCTGACAGTATCGTATGTGATGTTCAGACCGTTACGAAGAAAATCCTTCATCAAAAGGGTATAAGTCAAGGTAGGTACAATGGCCATGCACAAATCAAAGTTTTGTTTTGTATTAAGCATAGTCCAGAGCCTCTTAACATGTTCTCAGCCCAATGGTATCAAGTCTAGCAGGCAAAAAGACTTTTATGCAGGGTTTTCCTGTCTGTGTTAAACTGCTCTCAGTCAGGGCTGAATTCCGAAACTGTCAGTGCTTGACTCTTCTCAGCCAGGGCTGAAATCAGGCTCAACTCAGTCAAGGCAGAAATCTGACTGACTCTCTCCTCAGCATGCAGCTCTCTCAAGACTTTCTCTGCTCAGCCGATGCTAACCAATCCGATTGCTTGGAGCAGCCTGTCACTCAAGGCTCTCTGTTTCTGTGAAGAATTAACCCTTCACAGTCCTTTAAAGGTAAAGGTAAAGGTTCCCTTGCTCGAAAGCCAGTCGAGTCCGACTCTAGGGTTGCGGTGCTCATCTCCGTTTCAAAGCTGAAGAGCCAGCGCTGTCCAAAGACGTTTCCGTGGTCATGTGGCCGGCATGACTAAACACCAAGGCGCACAGAACGCTGTTCCTTTCCCACTGAAGTGGTACCTATTTATCTACTTGCAATTTCTTGCTTTCGAACTGCTAGGTTCTTTACCTGTTTGTAAAGCACTTCTCTGCTTCTAAAAGTGCAGTCCGTCACAGGTTGGGAAACTCCAGGTTGGATAGAGCCTGGGGAGGACAGGGGACCTCAGTGGGGCACAGTGCCATAGAGTCCCCCCCCCTCCAAAGCAGCCATTTGCTCTCTGTAGTCTAGAGAGGAGCTGTAATTCGGAGGGATCTCCAGGTCCCACCTAGAAGCTAGCATCCCAAGCTGCTTTTTTTTCTTCCAAAAAACATTTTTATGATCGGGTTATAACAACACGTCCAACATTATAACATTCCCTTATTTCCAATATAGCCCTTTTCCCTTCTTCCCTCCCTCCCCTCCTCCAGGCTTCCCGCAGTGATCTCACCCCTACCAAATTTCTTATTGTTATCTAATCTTTCTACTAAACCACAGTTTAATAAGTAACTATTACTTTAACTATCTTCCTCTTATAATCTATCTTATAGGTAACATTTCTTTAACTACCATTAACTTCTGTTCAACTCTCAACTCATTCTATTCCTAATGATTATTAAAGCATAATAAATTGTTTCCAACATCCCAATATTTCTCTAGATATTCTTTAAAATCCATCCAATCTGCAAGAAATTCTTCGTCTTCTTTGTTGTTAAGTTTCCTTGTCGATTTGTCCATTTCTGCCATAAAAAGCATTTTTCTAATCCATTCCCAAACCTCCGGTACTCGGTCTTGTTTCCAATATTGCGCATAGGTCATTCTTCCAAGCTGCTTTTCACATATGCAGAATTCCTACCCAAGAGGCACTCGGCCTGCTGGGGGAAGAGGCGTCCTGTGTTTACAAGTGGGTCTACTCCAAAGGTGGAAGCATTTTAGGCCAGCTTGTCCTGGCCTGGATGAAGCGCTCGGGGTTAGTCAACACGTTACAGGCCACGATTTGTGCTGGGAAGGCCAGGCCGGGCTGGGCCACCGGCTCCCTTCCCAGCTGTCCAAGCAACTGCAATGGCATAGTGCCACGGCGTGTGCTTGCCAAAGCGAGGGGAAGATTAGTCTCTGCAAACCCTCTAACGACTTCAACAAGAGCCCCTTGATCAAAGACAACAGACGCGGCTTGTCTCGAGAGCACTGATTGATAGGCCCTTAGGGCAAGGGTTATTCAGTTACGCCAACAGTAGTGAGCCCCCCCCCCTGGGGGGGGGCTGGAATGTTTACGAGGGTTATGCAGGGTTCTCCTTGCAGGCTTCGTGTCCGCGGGCCCTTTGACCAGAAGGAGGGCGGGGACCGTTAACCTGCAGGGCTGCATCGTGCCTTCCGGGTGGGGGGTCTGGGACCACTGCACGTATATTTCAAAGAAGAAAGCTGCAGTTTATACTCACCAGCAGGCCTCCTGACCAATGTTCCCTCTAAGCCGTGGAGTCTTGTGATCAGAAATTCTACTTTGTGAGCGACTGGCATTCAAGTTGTGAGCAAGCCATTTGGCTACTGCATAAATTACTTTGCTCTGGAGCCCATCCTTCCTGAGCTAAGATAAAAATGTGTGAGCTGGAGGCTAAAAAACTGAGCTGGCTCACACTAACTCAGCTTAGAGGGAACACTGCGACTGATGCTCTACCGGTAGGGTCGCCGGGTCGCCCCGGCCACTGACAGGAATGACAGGGTAGAAGAGGAAGAAGAAGAGATTGGATTTATACCCCGCCCTTCACTACCCAAAGGTGTCTCAGAGCAGCTTACAAACTCCTTTCCCTTCCCCTCCCCAGAACAGACACCCTGGGAGGCAGGTGGGGCTGAGAGAGCTCTTGACAGAAACTGCTCTTTTTCAAAAACAGCTCTTATCAGAACTGCGGCTTGCCCAAGGTCATCCAGCCAGGTGCGAGTGGAGGAGTGGGGAATCAAACCCGGTTTTCCCAGATTAGAGTCCAGACACTTAACCACTACACCAAACTGGCTCTTGTTGCCAGATCCAGGTTGAGAAACTCCTGAAGATTTGGGGGTGGAGCCTGAGGAGGACAGGGACCTCAGTGGGGTACAGTGCCCTTGAGCAGAGGTGTCAAACTCATTTGTTACGAGGGCCAGATCCAATGCTCCCCTCTAAGCTGTGGAGTGAGTCTTGCGAGCCAAAATTCCACTTTGTGAGCTACTGGCATTAAAGTTGTGAGCGAGCGATCTGGCTACTCCATCAATGAGTTTGCTCTGGAGCCCCATCCTTCCTGAGCCGAGACAAAAACGTGTGAGCCGGAGGCTAAAAAACTGTGAGCTGGCTCACACTAACTCGGCTTAGAGGGAACACCCCAGATCTGACATAAATGTCACTTTGTCGGGCAGAGCCATGTGTGCCATAAAACATAATGCCCGGTACCGGAGATATCTCCCCACTGACCGTGACCCTCCTTAGCAGAGCTCGTGGCCAAACTAGCACATCCTCGCCCCCTATGGATGCCAGCTCTCTGTTGGGCAATGGCTGCAGATCTGGGGGGAAGACCCTGGAGAGGGCCTGCATTTGGGAGAGGGAGGGACCTTCACAGGGGGTATAATACCCTAATATAGGCCCTTCTGGTCCATATTTGGACTGGTTTCCCCCCCAGTTGCTCGCAAGCCAGATAGGAGCCCTGGACGGGCCAGTTCCAGCCCCTATGTGTTTGACGTGTCTGCCCTAGACTCCACTCTCCAAAGCATCCATTTTCTCCAGGGGAACTGTAGTATCAGATCAGTTGTAATTCCGGGGGGTCCCCAGGTCCCACCTGGAGGCTGGCATGTTGGGTATTACAAGTTGAAAACACTCAGTATATCTGGGGTTAAATGTTTGTTTATGTTACTCACAGGAAGTCACATGTTTCTCATGTAACCAATGTTCTTTAGATGTAGGATGCCCGGGAATTTCTATTTATGGCTTCTCTTCCCATCTTTGTTTGGTGTTCTGGAGAACAAGAAGAGCAGCCATACTCTCCTCTCTTCTAGTTTTGTCTTTGTAGAGTAAGGATGTAGCCGATTTAGCTCTGTTGTTATTTTCATCTCAGTTACCCTTCCCCATTCTAGAATTTAGTAAAAACTTTATATTTTAATCACACATGGACTCTCAGCCTGAATTATTTTACTCTGGCTCTGATGGACTATCTTATCTCTGCTAAATACCATTTTTTCAATATCTCACTATCACCCAACATGGCATCCCTGTCTACCAACAGATTTGTGCTGTGGAACCGTCGCCTGGCTCTTTTCTTAACACGTTTCTTAAGTGCAAATTCCGTTAGACTGTTGCCGC